CCGCCTCCGCGCCCGCCCCGTGGCCCCCTCTCGCGCGTGCCCTTCCTTTCCTCGGGGCCCCGTTCTCTTGCTCGTTCTCCCCGCTCTCCTCTCTCGCCCTCACCCCAGCTCTTCTTCCCCCACCTCTCCTTTCCCTCTCTCCTTGGCTCCTTCCCGAGTCCCTTACAGCCCCGAACTCTGCATCTTCAGGGTGCCCCGAGACCAGCCCTCGTCCTGCTTCCTGTCTGCTCTCCGGCCTGTGGCTTTGGTGTGCACCGGTGTCTGTAGGCTGTCCTGGGGCCAGCAGCAAACACAAGCAAAGCCCACTTTTGTCTGTTGACCTCTGGTAGGTACCATGGGGACAAATATGTCAGATCACCCTTTAGATCTCCGGGACAGGGTCTATAAGCAAGAGCACATGAGGACAGTTCTGGGGACACTCCTCTGTGAAGAGGCTTTCCCATTCCTCTCTCACTACTTGCAGAAGGGAACCATGGCCCCGAGACACCTCCCCAGGCTCTCCTAAGACACAGATATGGCACCATCAAAAGCAAGACAGACGCCCGGCAGCACAAATGCTCCACCAATGACATTGGGCTTTGCAGCATGTTTTGGTTTCTTTGGTCTAAGTGTACCAAAGACAAGCTCTCATTTCAGGATATACTGGCAAGTGGAAAATTCACACCCCAGTGATATGTATGTTAGTGGTACGTATGCATTTACTGGTAAAAACACTGTGCGGGTATTTTACATTTGACACCTTCACATACGTTATCTAATGTAGCCCACACCTGTGAGGTAGGCATAATAGACCCTCATTTCAAGGAAAGAGAGACTCAGAGGTTGTGTCACCTTTTCAAGACCATACAGCTAGTTGACTGGGAATAGAACCCAGATTTCTGACTCAAAATTTCTTCCCTATTCTTCTCTTCAAGCCCTCTTATGTTGTGGACCACAGTCACTTACCCTAGATGGTTACAGAATGGGGTTTTCCTCACTGAATGCATCAAGCCTTCTTATCTTCAAGCCTCTGCTGAAATATCATTACCAAAAGGTCCTCCTGACAGCCACCATATCTGACTTGATCGGTCTCTCCTGTCACATTCTCTATCTCAGTTCCTATTTCTTCCTTTCATTGCACTTTTCTCAATCTCTAAACATTATTTTTACTAATTTTGCTTGTTTGAGACATGGTCTCACTCTGTTGCCCAGGCTGGAGTGCAGTGGCTCAATCTCAGCTCACGTCAGCCTCAACCTTCTGGGCTCAGGCAATCCTCCCATCTCAGTCTCCCGAGTAGCTGGGACCACTGGTGCATGCAACCACTCCCAGATCACTTTGTTTCTATTTTTATTTTTGTAGAAACAAGGTCTCAAGGCTGGGCTCAGTGGCTCACACCTGTAAACCCAGCACTTTGGGAGGCTGAGGTGGGCAGATGGCTTGAGCCCAGGAGTTCAAGACCAGCCTGGGCAACATGGTAAGACCTGGTCTCTACTAAAACTACAAAGAAATTAGCCAGGTAGGGTGGTGTGCACCTGTAGTCCTAGCTACTCAGAAGCCTGAGGTGGGAGAATCACCTGAGCCTGGGGGTTCAAGGCTGCAGAGCCATGATCATGCCACTGTGCTCCAGCCTGGGCAATGGGAGTGAGAACTTGTTTCAAAAAAAAAAAAAAAAAAAAAAAAAAAAAAAAAAAAAAAAAGAATGGAAGAGAAGGAGGAGGAGGCAGAAGGGGAGGGGGAGGGGGAGGCAGAGGGTGATCAAGGTCTCACTATGTTGCCCATGGTGGTCTTGAACTCCTAGGCTCAAGTGATCCTCCCACCTCAGCTTCCCAGAGTGTTGGGATACAGGCGTGAACCATTCCCAGCCTTTACTAGTTTGTTTACAAGTGTTCCTTCTCCCCGCCCAGACTTTGAGCCCTGTGAGAATGAATGAATGTGACTTTTCTTTTTTTTTTTTTTGAGACAGGGTCTTGCTCTGTCACCCAGGCAGGCTGGAGTATAGTGGTGTGATCATAGTTCACTGCAGCCTCAAACTCCCAGGCTCAGCCGGGCACAGTGGCTCATGCCTATAATCCCAGCCCTTTGGGAGGCCGAGACAGGCAGATCACAAGGTCAGGAGTTTGAGACCAGCCTGGCCAACATGGTGAAACCCCATCTCTACTAAAAATACAAAAAATTAGCTGGGGGTGATGGCAGGTGCCTGTAATCCCAGCTACTCGGGAGGCTGAGGCAGGAGAATCATTTGAACCTGGGAGGTGGAGGTTGCAGTGAGCCGAGATCTCGCCACTGCACTCCAGCCTGGTGACGAAGCCAGACTCCGTCTCAAACAAACAAACAAACAAACAAAAAACAGAAAAAAATCTGTCATCACCAAGCCCTACAGGAAACTTTGTGATCTGCTTGCCTCGGCCTCCCAAAGTGCTGGGATTATAGGCATGAGCCACTGCACCTGGCGGATGACAGATATTTAATAAGCATTTGTGAAGTAAATGAATAAAGGAATTCAGGATGAGGGAGATCATGTATAAATATTCACAAATACCACATTTTAACTAATAATAATTAAAATGTACCTATCAATGATACCATATTGGCTGGGTGTGGTGGCTTATACCTGTAATCCCAGCACTTTGGGAGGCCAAGGCGGGCAGATCACTTGAGGCCAGGAGTTCAAGACCGGCATATTTTATGTGCTGTACAAATATTTATTGAGTGCTTTGTATGTACCAGATATTTTTCTAGCCACTGGGACACAATAGTAGACAAAAGAAAAATTTTGCTGTCATGGAACTTATAATCAAGTGTGTGTGTGTGTGTACATGCATGCGTTTCTGTGCAAGATATAATACACAAATGGGTAAAGTAAATATTATGTGAGTTGGAGATCAGTGCTGCAAAGAAAATAGAGCAGAAATGGGGTGTGGAATGTGAAGGGTCAGGGACAGGCAAGCCAGAAAGCCATTTTCACAGTCCTCTGAGAAGACCTTTAAGAAGGTGACATTTGAACAAAGAGCTAAAGGAAAGGAGGAAGCAGACCATGCAGACATCTGAGGAAGCATCTACTGACCCTCCCTATATGATGACTTAGGAGGCACATCTGAACCTTCCTTGCAGGCTATCAGTTATAACAGGGAACATAATGACACTATTTGATACAGCAGGCAGCGAAAAGATCCAGTACTTGGGCATTTTATTTCTTCGGATTCCAGATCATCAGAAGTTATGTCAATGGTCATGCTGGGTATGTTATTTTTAAAAAATACTGATTTGGTTATTTTGATGTCTTAATATTTCTGCGAGCTAGTCCATTTTTTTTTTTTTTTTTGGCTCATATTTACAAAGACAGCACCAAAAAACCTCCAGGAGAATTTCTCAGCCTCTGTTTGGCATATGGTACCCACCATAAAAGACCAGCAGCCTCCAGAAGGGTCAGAGGAAGACCTGGGATGATAGGGGAGTTAGGGGGCTGGTTGGTTCCACAGGTGAGGTGGGGAAGCAGTCAGTTACACAGGTCGGTGATGGGAAGGCACTGGAGAGGGGCCAAGGGGATAGGAATCAGAGGAGCAAGCTGGGGAAGGAAGCTTAGGAACCACAAAGTTCTCATCACCCCCACCTCTACCACTGTTATTGCCTTTTTTTTTTTTTTTGAGAAGGAGTTTCACTCTTGTTGCCCAGGCTGGAGTGCAATGGCATGATGAAGGCTCACTGCAACCTCTGCCTCCCAGGTTCCAGCGATTCTCCTGTCTCAGCCTCCTGAGTAGCTGGGATTACAGGTATGAGCCACCACACCTGGCTAACTTTTTTATTTTTAGTAGAGACAGGGTTTTATCATGTTGGTCGGGCTGGTCTTGAACTCCTGACCTCAGGTGATCCGCCTGCCTTGGCCTCCCAAAGTGCTGGGATTACAGGCATGAGCCACTGTGCCCAGCTTTGTTGTTCCCATTCTTAAAATCTCTTTACATCTTTTCTTTCTTTTGAAATGGAGTTTCGCTCTGTCGCCCAGGCTGGAATGCAATAGCACGATCTCGGCTCACTGTAACCTCTGCCTCCCAGGTTCAAGCAATTCTCCTGCCTCAGCCTCCCAAGTAGTAGGGATTACAGGCGTGTGCCACCATGCCTGGCTAATTTTTGTATTTTTAGTAGAGACGGGCTTTCACCATGTTAGCCAGGCAAGTCTCCAACTCCTGACCTTAAGTGATCTGCCTGCCTCGGCCTCCCAAAGTGCTGGGATTATAGACGTAAGCCACAGTGCCTGGCCCATAAAATCTCTTTACATCTTAACTGTAGTGGTGAATAAGTAAATTCAGAGCCAAGTTCAACTTTTCAAGGACAAGATTCTCCCCAATGATAACCCCTCCCCAAACTCCTTCAACAGAGACCCCAGAACTTCTTTCTCTCCATGACACCCGCTTCCCCACACATCCTGAAGTGCACCTTTAATGCGGTTTTACGTAAACATGCGAGCTATGTGTGTCCAGTATTGGGACAGTGTCTTCCACAGAGCATGACCCTAAGAGGACTTTCCAGTTTAAGGCTGGCAGCACATGAGAAGCACGCACATGCAGCAGCAGACTCGGCGGGAGAGCCTCCCCAGCTCGAAGAAGCCAAGTTGGGTTCAAAAAGAATGCAGCCTTCATGTTTCTCTGCCCTCTGCTCCCTTCAGGTAGGTACAGTAGGGTGGGGAGGTAGGCTGTGCACATCCCTACCCAGCTGGAACCTGTTAAGTAGTGCACTCAGAATTGGTCCCTGCCCTATGGAGTCCCAGGAGGCAGGTGATTCAAAGGAGGTTCTCCTCTGGGCCTTGGTATAGCTTGAAGGGGAGACCGTTTCATTTCCTCTGAGTCACCCTCCTGCTGCCACATTTCTGTGCTGTCTGTCCTAGGATTTCAGCATCTGTTCTTATGTGACAAGAAGAAACAGCTCCCTTGGGTACCAGCCTCTATCCTTCCTGCTTAATGTCAAGAGGGGGAGGTGTGTGTGGAATATGAGGTGTGGAAGTGTGTGCTGGTGGCATCCTCTAGAGAGAAAACTAAAGCTTCCATGCTCTGTCTGTAGGATAGGCTTCTAGTAGACCATTCTAAGGACAGCTCTCATTTCTTCATCACCTTTGGCTTTCTCTGAGATAACTTTCTCTGAGATAAAGTTGTAGGGTAGGTGAAGACAGGATTATTCAAGACAGTGCCTTATACTCAGCTCTTCCCGTGGGCATGAATGGCTTTATACACATGACCTGAGTTTTAAGATTTGTGAATATGTATATTGTTATCTCCATTTAGCTCAGGATGGCCCAACTAGTACGAGACAGAGCCAGATTTTCGAACCCAGCTGTAAGTCCAAAATATCCACTCCTCCCACCTCTTAATGGCAGCTCCTTGATTGTGACATGTCACACAGAGCTCTACAAAGAACACTACCTGGTATTGTTTGAGACAACATAGCAAGACATACAGGACAGCTGAACTCGGCTTCAAAAAATGTTACACTAAGACACTAATGAACAATGAGATATTTTCATTGTAGAGGTGAAGAAAGAACATTTTAGGATTGAGAATGAGCACATCCTAAAAGTCAAATAGGCCGGGTGCAGTAGCTCACGCCTATAATCCCAGCATTTTGGGAGGCTGAGGTGGGCAGATCACTTGAGGTGAGGAGTTTGAGACCAGCCTGGCCAACAAGGCAAAACCCTGTCTCTACTAAAAATACAAACATTAGCCAAGTGTGGTGGTGTGCGCCTTTAATACCAGACACTCAGGAGGCTGAAAGCAGGCAAAATGCTTGAACTTGGGAGGCAGATGTTGTAGTGAGCTGAGATGGTGTCACTGCACTCCAGCCTGGACCACAGAGCGACTCCATCTCAAAAAAAAAAAAAAAAAAAATCAGATAAGCATTCCAGTCTGTGCTCCTGTATTACCACAATCTTTTTTTTTTTTTTTTTAACCTCAACGTGGATTTTTGCTCCAACCTAGTGATTCTCTACTCTGGTTGCACATAAGAATCACCTGAAGAGCTTTTACAAAATACTGATGTCCAATTCTGCTCTGAGTGGTTGTCTTAATTTGTGTGGGGTGGGACCTGGGCATTGGTAGTTTTTACAAGCTCCCCACCTGGGTGATTCTAATGTGCAGCCAGGATTAGAAGCAATCTTCTAAGACTGTGGTAGTCATGCACAGGAAAGAGGCTGGCTTACAGAATAGCTTTATTTTTTGGTAGTTTAATGGTAACAAGTTTGCTGATGTTTACCATGTAAGAGAGAGGGCCAGATGTCCGGATTAGCCAGAAAACTAATTGATTTCTTTGCAAAACATGCTAACATTTAGTATTGACATGATGTACTCCTAGAATCTCTCAGGACTGTAAGGAAATCTCAGGCAATCATCTATCTAATCTATTCCCCTGGATTAGATGAGGTTGCCAAGTAAGAAATACTTAAATGGATTAGCAACACTTAAAGACATGTTTTTCTTTTTCTTATTTTTTTTGAGATAGGGTCTCACTCTGTTGCCCAGACTGGAGTGCAGTGGCGCAATCACAGCTTACTGCAGCCTCAACCTCCCCAGGATCACGTGATCTTTCCACCTCAGCCTCCCCACTAGCTAGGACTACAGGCATGAACCAGCACGCCTGGCTAATTTTTGTATTTTTTTTTTGTAGAGATGGGTTTTCACCATGTTGGCCAGGTTAGTCTCAAACTCCTGGCTCAAGTGATCCGCCCACCTGGGCCTTTCAAAGTGCTGGGGTTACAGGTGTGAGCCACTGTGCCTGGCCTTAGAGACATTTTTAGATGATGGGCAACCAGAATGGCAGAAAGACTGGGTTTCCCTTTTAGGGAAAAAGCAATTTCACTGTTCCAGAAGAAATCGGAGCCCCAGCCAGCCTGCCCTCCCACAGCCCCTTCTCTGGGGATTCCTGGCATGTGTCATCCTCTGGGGTGACTGCGGGATGGAGGTGCCTGTTGGTGGCAGCAGCAGCTTTTCCTATGAGGGAAGCTGGGTCGGTAGACACTACACTGCTATTCCTGGGGTGGGGGTGGGGATTTCTGTGTATGTTTTATAGTTAGCTGGCCCCAAATCCCTGTGCATTAGACCTAACCCTCTTCTCGGCTTCCACTGCTTTCTTCTCTCTCCTGCACAGCCCGGAGTCACAGGGGCAAGGCCTGGTTTTACAATGGCTGCCAGCCTTTCCCTTAGGGAGCCACGCATGCGCTCACTTTTTCCAGTGGTCTTCTCAGTCTGATTTAATGGATATACCGGGACTGATGACACATCAGCATGGGATCCTTCTTTTGCTTCTTGGGTAATTGTCCTATTAACAGCTGTCCCAGGCGAAGGGAGCGGGGGAGTGTTGGGGGAAAGCGGGGGTGGGGGGGTGACTTCCTGGGTGAAGGAGGACACACCCTAGGTTTTACAAGGTTAATCAGCAGGTTCTGGGAAAGCTTGCACCTGCTCAGACTTGATCTGGAACTCTAGACAGAATGGAAGACAGTCGTCTCCACTCCCTTCCATGGAGTATCAAATATCCTGGGCGCCCACACCCTGCCAGACCTAGGCCTGCTGTTGCGATTGCGTTTGTCTCTACACCTTTACTCTCTTTGGTCCTTGCAACTCTCTTTCCCTTTTTCGGGCCACTTCTGTGAAATGGCTAAGCAGGAAACTCACATAAACGATTGTCCAGTTTTAGTTTGAACTGTTAGGACTGAAAATTGTTCTGTATTTGTTGTGTAAAAAAAAGATCAATCTTAGTATGCTGTTTTCACCTTCTCAAAATTATCTTGTATTTAAACACTGTACTTTAGTTGAGCCTTTATATCTTTCAATGTTATGTTTTCTTTTGTTTTTTGAGGCAGGATCTCACTGTTGCCCAGACTGGCACCATCATAGCTCACTGCAGCTTCAAGCAATCCTCCCACCTCAGCCTCCTGAGTAGTTGGGACTATAGATTTGTGGCACCAGGCCCAGCTTGTTTTTTCGTAGAGACGGGGGTTTCACTATGCTGCCCTGGCTGGTCTTGAACTCCCGAGTTCAAGCAGTCCTCCCCCCTTGGCCTCCCAAGGTGCTACTGTGAGCCACTGTGCCCGGCCCAGTGCTATGATTTTAAAATATGTCCTTCTCAACCTTATTTTTAGAGTTTGATGGCCACACCTAAATTTTTCCTCCTTTCTTACACACTACCAGTCTTTATCTTCATTGTCTCACTACTTTGGGGACTGAATGGTCTCCTATTTTATTGGTAACATGCCATATCCTTCAGAACTGTACATCCTCCAAGGTGTGGTTAATTTCTGGTTTTAACAGGAAAATCACAGGCCTGCCTGAGTCCCCCTTCAAGTACTCAGTATTTGAGTGTCTACTAAGTTATAACAGTTAACACACAAAATTCTAGTCCTCATGTCGTTTATACTCAGATATTTATTGGGAGACACGCGTCAGTAGTCCCTACTAAATGGGAAGATTGCTTGAGTCCAGGAGTTCGAGTCCAGTCTGGAATAGGTAAAACATGCTCTCTGAATTAGTCTTTGAAACTGGTAAACTAGCTCAGAAGTTTTGTAAGAATTGCTGGTGTACGTTTATTATATACAGTGAAAGTACTTAATCTGTAAACCACCCCAAATTAAGCCTCCTAACTGCAAGCACAAAATGGACTCATTATTTACTGAGTTATCAGTTGGCGTTGTCCTTAGTTGTACAGGGACTAATGATTCACCCATAAATAATGGGCTCTTCTAAGAAGACAGACTTGAGTTTACACCTCTTTGTCTTATAGCTGGGAGGAACGCACTGCAAACTCCAACCCAATGATTCCCTAAATGGGGTCTTCGCATCAGCTGCGTTAAAATCATCCCAGCAGGCAGGTTATCCGGCCGCCACTCCAGGGTCACTAAATCAGACTCTCCAGTGGGACCTCGGAATTCGTAGTTTAGCAAGCTCCCCAAGTGATGCTGGGGGTGAACTAACGTTTGAGAGTCACAAACATGTTTTGGAAATATAACCAGATGGGACTGGAGAAATTAGAAACTGAGAAACATTCCTAAAAAAAGCAAGACTAAGCAGCGTGGGAGACCAAGTGAGGGGGGCTCTTTGGGGTGTTTCTACCATGACAAAAATCGCCATTACCCCACAGCTCTCATACCACCAACGTTCCGCCAATGTCCCACCACCCTCATGACAACCGTCCCCGGGACTGCTCCAGCGAAGGCACCCTTGCCTGGGCCACGAGGCGCAACCGTCCCTCACAGCTGGGGAGGCTTCTCCAGGTTCGCACCGAGAGGAAGTTGGGGTACCGGTTTCCGCCGCCAGCACCCAAGATGGCGGCACGAGCGTCGCAACCACAAGCACCACATGTTTCGTGTCCCGCCTCAGCCTTCTCGGGTCTCACTAGACTTTTGCAAGTCACTGTGGGAAACCTCAAGGCGGAGGTGTTCCGCACTCCCGCGGCGATACACCCTCCCATTCCCTGCCCTAAGCCCTCAATCCCCCGCCACAGAAAGCGCTGGAAGCGCCCAGCTTGGATACTTCACCCAACTCCCAGCCCGCTAAGATCGCCCGCCACGAACGCGCGGCCGAGGGGCCCAGAATGCTAGACACTAAGGCCTTCGCCCTACTCATTGGTCGGTCCACACCGCGGGGCGGGCCTAGGTACCCACTGGGCCGGGAATTATGTCAGTCTTGGGAAATCGGGTCCGGAGATGAGGAGGTACACTCAGCCATTGGGCCCTCTCTGCTGCCAATCAGAGGGACATCCGTCGACGGCCCCGGTCTCGGCTCGTTGATTGGAGAAACTGTTCCTAGGGTGCCTGCGGCGGGCGGGTTTCCGAGTGCGGTGGCAGGAGGGGGCGGGGAGGGAAGCGGAGGCTCGGAGCTCTAGGCCGGCCGGTGGCGGCGGCGAGGCCGGGACTCGGGCTTAGGGCCTGCTGTGGCGGCAGCGGCGGACGCCGAGCTAAGCAGCGGGTATCGGGCACATTCCTTTCCTAGAAGGGAGGGGTGCAGCGCCGCGGGGCCGAGGCTTATGGGGCGACGGGCGACGGGATGGTGCTGAGGCGCAGGAGGCGGGGGCCGAGCAGGGTTCCCGCCAGAGCCCGGCCCTGGGCCTGACAGGGAGGGGCCGCGCGCGGGGCCGAGAGGAAAGCTGGCTCTGGGATGGGATGGACTGGGCAGGGTTGAGGGCACGAGAAGGCGTGGTGTGAGGCCCGGACTTGGGAGTGGGGTGGGGCCATCGGCACGGAGGGCGGGGTGGGGTTTGTTGTAAGGGTGGGTCAAGGCCGGGGAAGTAGCACTTGTTCGCTGGCCGCCCCAGGAGGCTAGAAGCTCCGGCGCCGAGAGTGGGCATGGCGACTTGGTCTCAGCCGGACTCGGGTATCCGGGCAGGGTGGGACCAGCCTCAGGCCAGGGCCCTGCCCCTAACTCGATTTTTAAGGGACTTTATCCGATTTCTCGAACTTAGGCTCCTGGGAGGTTTTAGTAATAAATTGCGTGAGAACGGGAGGGTAGCGTAAGCAGGAATTCTGGGTCGCAATTGTGTTTACTCTGACCAGAGAGAGGGAGTGTGTGTGTGTGTGTGTGTACACGTACGCTGTGTACGTATAGATCGCTCTCCCCCTGTAGAATGAAGTTGGTAGATGGGTCACAACGCCGGAGAGGAGAGGGGGTATGTCTTGGTTTGTGAGATTAATGGAAGCTCAAAAGTGGAGACCAGAAACAGATTTACCTCCTCGGCACTGGGCGGTCTGGCTAGAGAACGTGGCCATATCCTTCTGCTTTGGCTCAGAAGGTCATATGAATGAAAATAAAACCTGCCTATGCAAATCCTGGACGGAATAGTCTTGCGTAGTAGGCCCCCCACCATCCTTCTCCTCCTTTTTTTCTTTCCTTTTCTTTCTTTATTTCTTTTTTCTTTTTTTTGAGATGGAGTTTCGCTCTTGTTGCCCAGGCTGGAGTGCAGTGGCGCGATCTCGGCCCACCACAACCTCGCCTCCTGGGTTCAAGCGATTCTCTTGCCTCAGCCTCCCTAGTAGCTGGGATTACAGGCATGCGCCACCACGCCCGGCTAATTTTTGTATTTTTAGTAGAGATAGGGCTTCTCCATGTTGTTCAGGCTGGTCTCGAACTCCTGACCTTGGGTGATCCGCCCTCCTTGGCCTCCCAAAGTGCTGGGATTACAAGCATCGGCCCTTTTCCTTTTTTTTTTTTTTTTTTAAGATGTGAGGATAGGAAAGGGAAATCAGATTTCAAAGTTCAGAAAACAAAAGGCGTTCTTCTTCTGGGTGAAGTGGTGGCCTGAACATTGTCCTTTTGTCCTTCCACACTCTCACTGTTTAATAATCTTGCCTTTTTGAACTGGAAAAGATAACTGTTATAGGTGGTTTTCTCCTGAGAGGTGAAAATTCAGCTTTACTTTTAAGACAAGAAATGGGCTTCTCATATGAAAATAGAAGCTGGGTAATGCACCTGTAGCGGGGGAGGAGGGCTGGTAAATAAAACAAAGGTGTAAGATATTTTGGATGACCTAGTTATTGTCTGCTTATCCAAACCAAGCTACATTTTAGGATATTGAACATTTAATATTAAGTATCTGAGATCCTTTGTGATCAGTACCTTTTATAGTTCTTCTATGATCGGTTGCTATATTTTGGGTTTTTTTTCTGAGAGTGTAAGTAGTCCTTTCTTCCTATAAAAGTGGCCTTTAGGCCAGGCACTGTGGCTCACGCCTGTAATCCCAGCACTTTGCGGGGCCCAGGCGGGCAGATCACCTGAGGTCAGGAGCTCAAGACCAGTCTGGCCAACATGGTGAAACCCCAACTCTACTAAAAACACAAAAATTAGCTGGGCATGGTGGCAGGCGCCGTAATCCCAGATACTTGGGAGGCTGAGGCAGGAGAACCCCTTGAACCCGGAAGGTGGAGGTTGCAGTGAGCAGAGATCACACCACTGCACTCCAGCCTGGGCGACAGAGTGGGACTGTCTCAAAAAAAAAAAAAAAGTGAAAGTGTACTTTGAATGTGTTTTCTGCCTTCTACTGTGAAGGTTTTCCTACCCTGATCATGATGTGAAAAGTATGGAATCTCATCTTGTTGCTTTTGTGATTCCCATTTCAGGTTTCTCTGGAAACCCCCCTGGTAAGTGTGGAGGAGGCGGGACACTCTGACCCAAGACGAAAGGCCTGTAGCTCCAGCCAAAGAAAATAAACCTTAGGAGGGAGAAGGAAAAAAAAAAAAAATCCATCAGCTGTTCCTGAGAACAGCCTGCAGTGGAATCTACAGAGAGGACAACTAATGTGAGTGAGGAAGTGACTGTATGTGGACTGTGGAGACAGTAAGTCACGTGGGCCCTTGAGGGCCTGGACTGGGTTAGGAACAGTTGTGCTTTCAGAGGTGAGGTGTCAAGAAGGGAAAAGTGAATGTGGTCTGGAGTGTGGCCTTGGCCTTGGCTCCACAGGGTGTGCTTTCCTCTGGGGCCATCAGGGAGCTCAGCCCTTGTGTTCTGCCAGGGTGGGATACGGGGTTTGGCACTGAGGAGGGTAACCTGCTGGCTGGAGCGGCAGAGCAGTGGCCTTGATTTGTCTTTTGGAAGATTTAAAAACCAAAAAGCATAAACATTCTGGTCCTTCAGCAATGCTTTCTCTGAAGAAATATTTAACGGAAGGACTTCTCCAGTTCACCATTCTGCTGAGTTTGATTGGGGTACGGGTGGACGTGGATACTTACCTGACCTCACAGCTCCCCCCGCTCCGGGAGATCATCCTGGGGCCCAGTTCTGCCTATACTCAGACCCAGTTCCACAACCTGAGGAATACCTTGGATGGCTATGGTATCCACCCCAAGAGCATAGACCTGGACAATTACTTCACTGCCCGGCGGCTCCTCAGTCAGGTGAGGGCCCTGGACAGGTTCCAGGTGCCAACCACTGAGGTAAATGCCTGGCTGGTTCACCGAGATCCAGAGGGGTCTGTCTCTGGCAGTCAGCCCAACTCAGGCCTCGCCCTCGAGAGTTCCAGTGGCCTCCAAGATGTGACAGGCCCAGACAACGGGGTGCGAGAAAGCGAAACGGAGCAGGGATTCGGTGAAGATTTGGAGGATTTGGGGGCTGTAGCCCCTCCAGTCAGTGGAGACTTAACCAAAGAGGTTAGTGGACCTGTGGTGGGTGTGGGGGGCCTGGGGTTTGGGGGTGGGCTCGTCCAGAATGATTGTGGTCAGAACACAGAGCCCTGTAAAGAGTCAGACAGATTTCAGCAGGGCCTCAGGCACTGTTCTTGGGTAGGGATGGGCTGAACTGTCTGACTTTAGGATTGGGGGCTGGGAGCATTTCCCTGTATTGAACCATTGACCTACCTCTAAATGTACTGTCAGGGCAGTGGGAGGTTCCTACACATGCCAGGGTGTTGACTGCTTGGATTTCAGCATGACTGCTGGAGGCCTGGGGTGGGGGAGGAGTCATGTTGTGATGGGGTTTGATGCAGTGTACATCTGTTGCTAAGACACAAATACTTTATGGACTCTTGCCTTGTATCTCCCCCCACATCAGAACACAGACATACCCTGAAGTTCTCCTTTGTGGTCAGGCCTGTTGTTGTATTGTCCTGATAATTCAGACCTCCTGGGCCTGAGCCAAAGGGTAGATTTGGATAGTTATTCTTGGGCAGAAGAGGGCCAAGGCTTCCATTCTTTGCTCTAAAGGCCCACTGCAGGGAGTAGGGAAGAGAAGGCTGGGAGGTAGAAGAGAAACTGCATTCTGCTGCCCAAGTCAACTTGCTTTGAGCTGTCAGAAGAGATCCTTAGCTCTTGTCACATGGCTGACATACTGTTCTGGGCAGAAAACGATGCAGTTCTTTGCCTTTTAAGATGTGAATGGCTGCTGCTGCCCCGCCTCACCAACATAAGATTGCTTTGAACTCTGGGTTTGTATGACTTTTGCTTGCCCCCCAGCCTTAAGTAGTTGGGAAAAAGGCCCACTGCACTCCCCTGGCCATTAGGGAAGGAGAAAGCCCGATTGGGTTTTTGGAGGTGGCATGTGGAGGAATGTAAAAAGTTTTACAGATGCTGCAGAAATGGGCTCCTCTGCCTGCCAGGTCAGACCATGTTTTCCCTCCTTCCCTCCTTTGTAGCCTTTTCCTGAGCTTAGTTATCTGACTGTTAGTGACTGTCAAAGAGTATGGCTTGTTTTAGGCCAGTGGTCCTCAACTGGGGGTGATTTTGTCCCCGAGGGTGCAAGTGGCAATATCTTGAAACAGTTTTGGTTGTCACATCTTGGGGCAGGGGTGCTACTGGCACCTAGTGGGTAGAGGCCAAGGATGCTGGTTAACATCCTGAATGACACAGGACACCTTCAAACAACAGATTTGTCTGACGCCAAGTGTCAGTAGTACAGGGATTGAGACACTCTGCTCTGTGCTCAAATGGCTCATACTGGACCTGCTTTGAGAGGGACTAGGATTATCTGAGCGCAGGAGCCAGGAACATTTCTTACCTTTCAGGGCCTCTTATTTTAGCTTCTTACAGGGCCACTTGGAACTTCACCTCTTTTCTGCTTCCCGTTTCCCTTTCCTTCAAGTGGGCTCCAATGTTGGCACAGTGTTCTGAAGTATGCTTCCCAGTCTCTGCTCCATGCTCCTCCCCCAGGGTAGCTCCCCCAGGGGTGGGTGGAACTGGGTTTGCTTCTGGAAACCTTGCAGGGGTAGCTCCATATCTGTTCCTGCTGGGATGGGATGGGATGTTTTGGATATTATTGGGTGGGTTGGGGTGGAATGCGATGGGACTTTGACCCTGCTTTCCTCTATTTCTTGGCCCTTGTGAAGGTTGTGCTTTTCATCTCAGGCCTTTACAACTCCCTTTGGGAGGTGGGGTGGGTCAGCATTAGGGGCCCAGGCTGGGTATGGGGGAAGGGAGGATTATTATGTGTCTAGAACAACATTTCCTCAGCAACTCAGGGATAAAAATACCCAGGTCCAGAGCATGTGACAGGCACTGCTGGAACCGGTATTATCCCTGGGGTGGAAGTGCTCCCCCGCTGCCAGGCTTGCTCTGTGGACAGCCATAGCCTAGGCCCTTGTCAGGGATAGGATTCCCCTTGAGATTGGCATTCTGCCCAGAGCAGGGGGGTGGCCTGTTTACAGCTCTTTCCAGGCTAGGAGCAGACTGTGACCAGAGAGAACATACTGTCTCTCTGACCTGACCTTAGGCTCCAGGGGAGCAGCAGTGGGGAGGGAGCTAAATTTCCCCTCGAGAAGCCAATCCAGGGAGTCTGAATTGTGATACTGGGTCTGTGAGGGGCTTCTTTCCTGCTTGGATGAGATGTGGGCCAGGTATCAGGCAGAGAATGCTCTTGAATAAAGCCAGGGTGAAAAGGGAGTGGGGGACATTTGTGGCCAGGAGAAAGCGGAGCACCTGTCTCCCTAAGTGTGGGGCTTCAGGGTTGTGTCTCCCCTCCTCTTGCTTGGGGCTAGGCTTGGCCGGCACTGTGACATTGCTGCACGTGGGCAAAATGGCCTTCCCCTTTTCCGTAGTCTGGCCTATTTTAGGGTGACAAAACTTACGACTTATGGTGGGCCTGGGTGCCCTGGGTTCCTGCCCAGCCTGACTTGTGATCCCTGGCCTTGAGAACTGGCCACTGCCTTCCTGAGGAATGGGGTAACTCCTTCCACTTCCAGCAAATAATTTAGATTCCCAGAGAATCTGCGGGAGGAGTGTCTGCCCAGTCCTGAGTGGGCTGGATGAGCAAGATGCGACAGGAGGGAGGAGAGTGGCACCCCTTCCCCCAGGGCTCTCACTGCGCCACCCCAGCTGACTGGGCTGGGTGGGGCTGCCCGCCCCTGGGCGCATCTCCTCAAGGAGACGGAGGCGGCCCAGGGATGGGCTGGTTCCTTGCGGCAGCTTCTCCAGCTGCCCTGATGCAGAGATTGGCTACCGTCTGCAGCTAGGTAACAGGCGGTGGGAGGGGATTGGCTCCTTCCGCATCTCCAGCGGAGACTTGGGGGAGGAGATTGGCTCTCGGCGCAGCCTAGGTAACGACAGTGGGAGGGGATTGGCTCTTTCCGCAGCCCAGCTGCTGACCTGGGGGAGGGGATTGGCTCTCTGCAGCCTCAGCAGTGACCTGCGGGGTGGGAGGGGGAGGGGATTGGCTCCTTGCGGCAGCCTAGGTAACAAGTTTGGGGGGCGTGGGGGGGAGGAGCGGGAGGATAGGCCCAGGGAGCTTGCTTTCCTCTGCAGCTTGAGCACGGAGCATGGGGTGGGAGTCCCATCTCACTGCAGCCTCTGCGGTGAGCTCAGGGTGGGGGCAGCTGGGCGCCTGAGTGGAACTGGGGTTGTGAGGTGGGAGGGGGCTGCTCAAGGATGGAGGAAGGGGGCTGGGCTGGGCCGCCCAGGCAGCAGCACGGGCGGGGCACCCTTCTCAGGCCCCTCGGAGCTAGCAAGGGGCCACCCTTCCAGCCTGGTGTGCTCCCTGAAAGCCAAGAGCTCCTTGCAGCCCCCTGTCCGGCTTCCCGGCACCGGCTGCCCTGGGGCTCATCTCGCAGACCATGACCCGCCTGGACCGCAGCTCTCACAGTGGTGGGGGCCATGCCAAAGGCAGCCGGCCCCTTAACTCTTTGCTGGCTGGTCACCGGGTGGCCCAGCCCCCCTCTGCTCCTGGGTCCAGGGCTTCTGTTCAGGTTGGTGTATGTGGGGAGACTAAAGTAGTATGTCTGGGAGGTCTTAGGGTCAGGGAGGGTTAATGGGAGAGGAATACCGGCTTAGAGGTAGGGAGGTGGGTCTGATCTAAGGAAATTGCTTTCTGGAAAGTGTGTGTCTGCATTTTAACCCCTGGATGGAAGGCAACACTTTAGGGTTTCTTCAGGCTTGTGGGGAGGGCTCGACTACAGGGGGGTGCCGGGTATAGGAAGCCCAAATAGCTCCATTTATTGGGGTTCTATGCTGTTAGCAGTGGGGGTGGCAGTTGGTGCAGCAACTGTTCATGAGCCACCACGGTAGAGCCGGAGGGAAGCATTTTTGGTGCCCAAGGTGGCAGTTGTAGCTGAGCAGTGATGGGGGTTACGTCCTTGAGTGGGTTGACTGATGGGGATTTGGTGAGTCCTGGGGTATGGTGAGGAAGGGAGAGCACTGGTGTGAGGGGACACAGTGAGGCTGTCCCGAGCAGGGGTGTGGTGCCCCCCTGGGGATCATCTGACTGCCTGAGCTTCCCTGGAATGGAGGCAGCAGCTAGGATCAGCTGAGAGAGAATTCTGGCGGGGATGAGTCTTGAGGTGAGCCTGGGCTTGAGGAGTTGTGGGTGTTCAGCCTTACTCTTGCTGCCAGCCGGGGAATAGGGAATGGCTATAGGAAGGGCTGTAGACAGCATGGCGTTGTCATTGGTTGCATCAGGTGGTTGGAAATGCAGGGATTTTCCTCTCCAGCCCACCCCACCCCTTTATGCAAATGAAATGGCACCACAGGCTGATGCAAGCCTGGTCACTGCTAAGTAATTCTGCATGATAATTTGCTCTTGCTTGCCATGGCCAGCTTCCTCCAAACCAAGTTTTAAGGGGTCCAATCTCCAAAGCTAGAGGTGTCTCCTGATGTTCCCCTTCTTTCTTATGTAGGAGTGAGGCGGCCCTGCCTTTTGGCTGGGTGTGTCTTGGTCCAGACCCTAATTCTTCCCACCCTTATGGTGATAGTCACGTTAATGGTTTTGCTAGTGGCTCTTTTTTTTTTTTTTTTGTGGGAAGGGGATAGTGTCTGGAAGTAGATGAATGAACATTTGCTGGTGCAGAGGGACCAGGGGGTAAAGGCTGGCAGGTAAAGAGCTGGGAGGGGCCCCACCCACGACTAACTGGAGTGACACTAGGAGGGAACTCTGAGGGGCAGGACAGAGAAGGGACCCTGGGACCTCAGAGCTAAAGTCATATGATTTGTCTTTCAGGACATAGATCTGATTGACATCCTTTGGCGACAGGATATTGATCTGGGGGCTGGGCGTGAGGTTTTTGACTATAGTCATCGCCAGAAGGAGCAGGATGTGGAGAAGGAGCTGCGAGATGGAGGCGAGCAGGACACCTGGGCAGGCGAGGGCGCGGAAGCTCTGGCACGGAACCTGCTAGTGGATGGAGAGACTGGGGAGAGCTTCCCTGCACAGGTACCATCGCCCCTGCTCACTGGGCTCTCTTTTTGTCCCTACTTCCCTTCCCTGACACAAACCAGGCTGGAGTTCTTCCAGAAACTTCCCTTAGAGAAGACAGGTTGTGGGGTGGACCTGAATTTCTGTTTTGGGTTGGGGTCTATAAGTCACAGTGGCTGAGCCTTGGAAGGGGGAGTGGAAAGCAGCAGATGCAGAAGGGCCGGGCCTTGGCAACAGACAATGCAAGGGAGGCAGAGCATCTAGCATCTTCCTGCTTGCTTCAGGACTCTTTCACTGTCCTTTCTGTTGTTCCTGGGAGTTTGGGACTCCGGGCCAGCCATTAGCCTGGGAATGGGAGGGAGACTGCAGGCCTTCAGCCATTCTGGGAAAGAAGTTTCAGCCCCAGGCAGCCAAGGCTCAGATCAGTCAGACTTACAGTTCCTGTTGCCACAGGTGCCTAGTGGGGAGGACCAGACGGCCCTGTCCCTGGAAGAGTGCCTTAGGCTGCTGGAAGCCACCTGCCCCTTTGGGGAGAATGCTGAGGTGAGGAGGACTCCAGTGAGAGCCCACCAAATGAGCAGGGCAGCCTGTATCTGGTGTGTCCCTCCATGGCTGAGGGGCCAGCTCTTGTTCTGGCTGCTGGGGGTAAATGCAGAGGAAGGAAGAACAGAAACAGACTCCAGGTGGTAATCTCTGGGAGGAAAGCACAAGGTCTTTCCTTCCCCCTTGTTAAAGCCTCTGTGTTTTGCCCTAGTTTCCAGCAGACATTTCCAGCATAACAGAAGCAGTGCCTACTGAGAGTGAGCCCCCAGCTCTTCAGAACAACCTCTTGTCTCCTCTTCTGACCGGGACAGAGTCACCATTTGATTTGGAACAGCAGTGGCAAGATCTCATGTCCATCATGGAAATGCAGGTAGGATTATCGGAACTGGGCACAAACCTATTGGATTTTGCACAGCGTGTCTTAGCACTCAGTTGCTTTTCCATCTCTGAGGAGAGAAAGTGTAATACTTTCTCTGATCCATAGAAAAGTGGGGACAATGAGAGGAAACCTGTCCAGGTGTGTCCTTGGGGCAAGGGAGGTGAAGACAGGTAGGGGTTGGCTTAAATAAAACTCAGGACTCAGCCTTCCAAATCAGGGCCTGCCTCCTGGGTGTGCCTTCTTCCTTTCCTTCAGGCAGATAGGCACTTGACTGAATGCTTCCAAAGTTCTGCGTTAATAATAGCTGACATTCACATGGTGCTTCACAGCCATCGTTCGCTCACTTGGCCCTCACAGTCATCTAGTCAGCCTTTATTTCAAAGGTGAGGAAATTGAAGCTCAGAGAGGTTAAATGATGTGCCCATGGTTACACAGCAAGTGGTGCAGCTAGGTTTTCTGACTGAAGTCTGGGTGTTCTTTTCACTGTGTTGATTTTGCAGTAACAAGGTAGTGTTTTCTTCCTCTCCCTCCAAGATAGGGGAGTCTGGCCAAACATGAGGAAAAGCTGATCAGTCTTGTATTAGGGTGGAGCCCACATGGAAGAACCCATCTCTGCCAGGCCTGGTGGATGAAGCTGGGTCAGGAGCTGACACTGTGGGCTTTGGTTTATAGTCTTTTGCCTTTACACCCATGCAGCTGTGCCTCTGTTGGGTGCCTGCAGTGTGTGAGCCCCAGGGGAGGGAGTCAGTTCCTAGTGAACAGTGGTGCTCTTCTCCCCCTCCCAGGCCATGGAAGTGAACACATCAGCAAGTGAAATCCTGTACAATGCCCCTCCTGGAGACCCACTGAGCACCAACTACAGCCTTGCCCCCAACACTCCCATCAATCAGAATGTCAGCCTGCATCAGGCGTCCCTGGGGGGCTGCAGCCAGGACTTCTTACTCTTCAGCCCTGAGGTGGAAAGCCTGCCTGTGGCCAGTAGCTCCACGCTGCTCCCGTTGGCCCCCAGCAATTCCACCAGCCTCAACTCCACCTTCGGCTCCACCAACCTGACAGGGCTCTTCTTTCCACCCCAGCTCAATGGCACAGCCAATGACACAGCAGGCCCAGAGCTGCCTGACCCTTTGGGGGGTCTGTTAGATGAAGCCATGTTGGATGAGATCAGCCTAATGGACCTGGCCATTGAAGAAGGCTTTAACCCTGTGCAGGCCTCCCAGCTGGAGGAGGAATTTGACTCTGACTCAGGCCTTTCCTTAGACTCGAGCCATAGCCCTTCTTCCCTAAGCAGCTCTGAAGGCAGTTCTTCCTCTTCTTCCTCCTCTTCTTCCTCTTCTTCCTCTGCTTCTTCCTCTGCCTCTTCCTCCTTTTCTGAGGAAGGTGCGGTTGGCTACAGCTCTGACTCTGAGACCCTGGATCTGGAAGAGGCCGAGGGTGCTGTGGGCTACCAGCCTGAGTATTCCAAGTTCTGCCGCATGAGCTACCAGGATCCAGCTCAGCTCTCATGCCTGCCCTACCTGGAGCACGTGGGCCACAACCACACATACAACATGGCCCCCAGTGCCCTGGACTCAGCCGACCTGCCACCACCCAGTGCCCTCAAGAAAGGCAGCAAGGAGAAGCAGGCTGACTTCCTGGACAAGCAGATGAGCCGGGATGAGCACCGAGCCCGAGCCATGAAGATCCCTTTCACCAATGACAAAATCATCAACCTGCCTGTGGAGGAGTTCAACGAGCTGCTGTCCAAATATCAGCTGAGTGAAGCCCAGCTGAGCCTCATCCGAGATATCCGGCGCCGGGGCAAGAACAAGATGGCGGCGCAGAATTGCCGCAAGCGCAAGCTGGACACCATCCTGAATCTGGAGCGTGATGTGGAGGACCTGCAGCGCGACAAAGCTCGGCTGCTGCGGGAGAAAGTGGAGTTCCTGCGCTCCCTGCGACAGATGAAGCAGAAGGTCCAGAGCCTGTACCAGGAGGTGTTTGGGCGGCTGCGGGATGAGAATGGGCGACCCTACTCGCCTAGTCAGTATGCGCTCCAGTACGCCGGGGACGGCAGTGTCCTCCTCATCCCCCGCACGATGGCCGACCAGCAGGCCCGGCGGCAGGAGAGGAAGCCAAAGGACCGGAGAAAGTGAGCCTGGGGAGGAAGGGGGTTTGATGCCCACCAAGACCGAAACTGGAGAAAGGCTGGACCTGGACCTGGACCTGGACCTACAGCGGGGACTTAAATGCCTTCTTATCCAATATATCTTCTCAGATGGGATGACTGCGGGTCAGTGTACAGGAAGAGGCAGGCACTGGCTGGCTCAGCTCCACTCGGGTGGAGTGGAAGTGGCCAGACCATTTGGATGGACAGGGTCCTCACCCTACCCCTTTCCTGTGAGGCAAGGGTGATGGTGGAGTTGCTGGAGGTAGAGGAGCTATGTGGAGCAAAGGCCAACAGAGGGGAAGGAATGGACCTGTGAGAGGAAGGGAAGGTGGCAGAAAGTCTCATTTCAGGAAGGAGGGAAAGAAAGAAGGAAGGAAGGAAACCCCCCCCAAAAAAAATCAAAGCGAGAAGAAAATCAGAGGGAAGGTTAAGGTTGGCTCTGGCCAGGATTCCAGGCAGCAGGTTGGAGTGACTGGTGGGCCTAGGTCACTGGTGTGATAAACCCCATTTCACCCCTGGGGGTTACGCAGACACAGGGTGGGGTTGGGGAGGGGCGGTGTTAACTCTTTCTGCTCCTTGCATTTTGGCATCCCTGAAGGGGAGCTCTTGGATATCATCGGCCGTAACGTTTCAATCAAATGGAGCCACTGGGCCCCAACACTGGCTTGGAGATTTAGGGTCAAAGGGTAGAGTGAACTGGAAAGGGTCACGTGGCCCCGTGTTGCAGCAGCCCCAACATCACGCATGTCATTCACTGCCTTGCCACTCCATCTCCCTCTGTGCTCCAGCCACCCCTGAGCTGAGGCTCCCATTGTCTCCATCAGAGCCTGCATGTGAATGCCATCCTCCCTGGGTTCGGTGTTTGTGTTCCCCACCCCTCACAGACTTCCTGAGCTCTTCTGTAAGCTGGGGTAGGGTGCTGGCAGTGCTCCGGGAACTGGGCCTGCAGCCTTCCTCTTCTGGGACTGCTGTGAGGCAGAGGAATGATGGAGGATCTAGTGCAGCAGCCTCCAGGCAGGATTCAGCACAACACTGGGGAGTCACCCTTCCCTCGGGCCTCTGCCTACCAACAACTGGGCTTATCACTGGGAAAACACAAAAAATTACACAACCCAGCAACAACAACAAAAAACTAGTCCTCTTAGAATTTCTTGCGCTTTGATTTTTTTAGGGCTTGTGCCCTCTTTCACTTATAGGGTCTAGAATGCTTGTGTTGAGTAAAAAGGAGATGCCCCAATATTCAAAGCTGCTAAATGTTCTCTTTGCCATAAAGACTCCGTGTAACTGTGTGAACATTTGGGATTTTTCTCCTCTGTCCCGAGGTCGTCGTCTGCTTTCTTTTTTGGGTTTCTTTTTAGAAGATTGAGAAGTGCATGTGACGGGCTGAGAGCACACCCCCCTAAACACACAAGCTCTCAGCCACAGGCAGCTTCTCCCTCCACAGCCCCAGGTTAGCATAGGCTCCTGGAGGGCTGCCTGGGGGAGGCAGACATGGGAGTGCCAAGGTGGCCAGATGGTTCCAGGACCACAATGTCTTTATTTTTAACTGTTTGCCACTGCTGCCCTCACCCCTGTGTGGCTCTGGAGTACCATCTGCCCCAGACAAGCAGGAGTGAAATGAGGGTGGGGGGAAGCACTGATTCCCAGTTAGGGGGTGCCTAACTGAGCAGTAGGGATAGAAGGTGTGAACCTGGGAGTGCTTTTATAAATTATTTTCCTTGTAGATTTTATTTTTAATTTATCTCTGTGACCTGCCAGGGAGAGGGGGGAGAGAGATGCTGTTGAGCACATGACAAAATAAAATAAAATGGATGATTCATTCTCAAGTGCAATTTTTCCCCACTTTGAATTTAAATTGAGAATAAAGGAAATGGACTCATTGTAGGGAGGACTGGCCATTGTGTGGCTAAGGCAGAGCTCACATGGGAAGATGGGTGGAGAACTGAGGAGGTTGACAATGGGGAACTTTAAAAGGCAAATCTTAAATACTGTATTAAACCTTGGGGGCAGGCATCAGGCACCATGTACTTCATAGGGTTAGCTGGTTCAATCCTCTCAGGAAGGATTCAGAGTTCTTTCAGTCTTACACAGCTAGGATAGGTGGAGGTGTCATTTAACCCAGCTCTTTACCTGTCCACCTGCTACAAACTACATTTTTAAACTGCTGTTATTTCTCTAATGGCCTCACCTGCCAAAGGGGTGCAGAGCATTGGAGTGTAGTCATGATGTTGAAAACCTGAGAAATCCATGGCAGCGACTAACATGTGACAAGCACTACTGTGTAACCAGGAGAAGGGCCACTAAAGAGAAGCAGGAGACCAGGGTTTAGGACACTAGGAAACCTCCCCAGCTGAGGGTACTAGAATCTCCTTTCCCTCAAACTGCTCAACTACCCACCCTATGAAGAGCTGTAATGTTTCAAAGTCTCTGCATGGATGCTGAAACTTCCACATGCCCATGTTTGTTAGGGCAGGTGTTCAGTAGATGCTGGAAGAATGAACACTCACTCGGCAGTCTTTTTATTGGCAGGGTCTCGCTATGTCTCCCAGGCTGGAGTGCAGTGACGTGATCTCGGCTCACTGCAACTTCCACCGGGCTCAAGCCATCTTCCCACCTCAGCCTCCTGAATAGCTGGGACTACGGGCGCACGCCACCACACCTGGCTAATTTTTGTAGAGACAAGGTTTTGTTATGTTGCCCAGGCTGGTCTCAAACTCCTGGCATCAAGTGATTCGCCTGCCTCAGCCTCCCAAAGTGCTAGGAGTACAGGCGCGAGCCATTGCGCCTGGCTTCTATGAGATTATTGGGCAGGGTTTAGGAGTAGAAGCTATGATTCCCTTAATGGAAGCTGTGATCTCAAACTCCTGGATACCACCCTGTAACCTGGTTCAGCTCAGTCCTTTAGTGATACTACTTTAGTGATGTTTAGAGTTGTACTAAGGAGTGGAGTAGAATTCTAAGAATAATGATTTCTTATGTTTCAGTTTATAAGAGCTTCTCCCCAACTCCCCAGTCTCCGTTGGAAAGGTTTGGTCGTATCAAACAAGAACTCTTTCCTAATTAGGAATTGACTACTGTCTGTAAGCCAGATAAAACCAAGATATGTAAAGGGGTGAAAAAAACAAAACTAAAAGTTAGTTTAAGGCCTGGTCGGCGGCTCACGTCTGTAATCCCAGCACTTTGGGAGGCCGAGGCAGATGGATCACCTGAGGTCAGGAGTTCAAAGACCAGCCCAACCAACATGGTGGAACTGTCTCTACTAAGAATACAAAAATTAGCCGGGTGTAGTGGTGGGCACCTGTAATCCCAGCTACTCGGCGACTGAGGCAGGAGAATTGCTTGAACCCAGGAGGTGGAGGTTGCGGTGAGCTGAGAGCGTGCCATTGCACTCCAGCCTGGACAACAAGAGCAAAACTCCCATCTCAAAAAAAAAAAAAGTCTGAAAAACACTCATACCGGTAATTAAACACAAATTATATATAGAATGGTAAACTGTGAAAAGTAAAATTCAGTTTTAATATTCTTGTACCCTTCCTAGAAATGTATATAGTCATGTGTTGTTTAACGGCCAACATACATTCTGAGAAATGCCTTGTTAGACAATTTTGTCAGGGTGTACTCACACAAACTTAAATGGTAGTGCCCACTACACAGCTAGCCTATGTGCTATACAGCCTATTGCTCCTAGGCTACAAACCTGTACAGCATGTTGCTATACTGAATACTATAGGCAGCTGAAATACAATGATAAGTACTTGTGTATCTAAACATAGAAAAGGCACAGTATAGGCTGGGTGCAGTAACTCAATGCCTGTACCCGCAACAAGACTATGCAACTGCACTCCAGCCTGGTGATAGCCTGGGTGACAGAGTAAGACCCTGACTCAAAAAAAAAAAAAAGTACAGTATAAACAGGGTATTATAATCTTATCGGACCATAATCATATACGTGATCTGTCAATGATGAAATATGCAGCACATGACTGTGTATTTTTGTTCAGTAATTAGGCTATAACTTTTACCTTATTTTGCAACCTTTTTTTAACTTAAAAGACTTAAGAGATTTGAAAAATTCCTCTTAATCCTGTTGCTAGTGTTGTCCCTGGTCTGAGTAAGAATATTTTTGTTGGCCGGGTATGGTGGCTCACGCCTGTAATCCTGGCACTTTGGGAGGCCGAGACAGGCGGATCACGAGGTCGAGAGTTCGAGAACAGCCTGGCCAACATGGTGAAACCCCATCTCCACTAAAAATACAAAAATTAGCTGGGCGTGGTGGCACTCGCCTGTAATCCCAGCTACTCGGGAGGCTGAGGCAGGAGAATTGCTTGAACCTGGGAGGCGGAGATTGCAGTGAATCAAGATCATGCCATTGCACTCCAGCCTGTGTGACAAAGCAAGACTCCGTCTCAAAAAAAAAAAGGAATATTTTTGTTAGCAGCCCCCCCCCCCCCACCATTAGAGAGATGTATAGTTTTGTCTAGGATCATGATGATTAGCTGGGGCATGGGGCCAAGTTGGTCAGCACTGCTGTGGGACTGACCTCTTTCTGTTGGCAGGTAGAGTGGGTGTTCCAGCCTCTTTCTGGCAGGAAGATAGGAGGACTCAAGTAAGGCCTGTGGAAGGGCTGCTACCACTAGCTATCTACCTATGGCAGGAAGTGAGAAGAGGTCCTGGCGGAAGGCTGGGAGACCAACAGGACTTAGGCTTAACAAACGGACCAAACTCTTCAGGCTGACTTGGGTGGGTGTGGGAAAGCTTTGTCTTGACTTCAGCAGTTGTAGGCTTCATTCAAACTGATTTTTTCTCACATCTTACTCATGTTAAGGAGATGGAAATAGACCCATATTTTCAACCTCTGCCCTGCACAGATCTCACCAATGAAGGTGGGGCTGTTTCAGTATCAATAAAAATAGAATAGTGATCTATAGAGGGAAAATCGTGATCTAGAGACATGCTTCAGTGTCATCAAGACTGGCCTCCATAGCTGACATTTCCCCACCCTTACTGGGGAAAGCTGAGTAACAATTAGTCTGGTGAACAGGGAGTTAGCTTCCATAGAGCCTTGTCAAGCTGGCCTCATCCCTGCTTTTATAACCCCCAGCTAAACCAAATCTTGCTGCCCCTCTTCACGTTTGCTTGGCAAACAGTTCCTTATGGAAAAAAACATCCCCAGTATCCATCCTCAGGTCCACTACCTACCTCATCCTGTAGGCACTGACCAAGAGCAACAACTTTAGAAGCTCACACTAAATATAGTTTAGGGCACACTGTGGTGAACAGGTGGACAGCAAGAAGCCTGTTTCCATATTGATGTACCATATGTATACAAACACAGGTACTAGATTGGTGTCTGCTTCTGAGTCATTTTCCCAGCCAAGTATAGAAATTCTGTAGCAAAACCCATGTGCTTCATGATCGTGAGTAGTTAAGCCTTTTCTATCACAGATTCTCCTCTGTTAAGTGAAAGGGACCCACAAACCTTCAACTTGTCATTTTGTCAGTATACCAAAATAACCTTTCTTTTTACCTTTATTGTATTACACTGAAGTCAATCATCTTCTTTGCCTCTGGCTCTGAACTTTGGAGTGGAGAATGAGCATTTGGGGACTATGGGGTATGTGTGAAACTTAACACTACAAGTTCTAGTCCTTGTTCTGTTCACTTCGTGTCTGCCTGAATTAGCTGAGAAACAGAATTTAGTACACATATTGTCTCTGGAGTAGTGTGAGAATCTGGTACCTTGCAAAAGAGGGCTGTTTTCAAAAATTAGCTGGATAGAAATCTTTGTCTTCCTTTTTGAATACACCATACCAACAAAGGTCTTAAAGCTGTTTTGGTGTTTTTTTTTTTGAGACAGGGTCTAGCTTTGTCACCCACGCCAGAGTGCAGTGGCATGATCTTGGCTCACTGTAAAACTGCCTCTAGGCTCAAGCTAGTCTTCCACCTCAGCCTCCTGGTAGCTGGCATACAGGCGTGCACCACCATGCCCGGCTAATTTTTGTATTTTTAGTAGAGACAGGGTTTCGCCATGTTGTCCAGGCTGGTCTTGAATTCCTGAGTTCAAGCAATCTGTCCGCCTCGGACTCCAAAGTACTGGGATTACAGGTGTGAGCCACTGCGCCCAGTCTTAAAGCTGCTTCTTTTCTAGCCTAACTTAAACTGCAGAATGGAGATAGGTTGCACAGTATTTTTTACTTAATTCTAGATGCTCTTCAACTAAGGAAACAAAAAATCTAGTTCACTTGGGGAGAGGTGGAGAATAGACCAAGGAGTTGGCATTCTGCCTTTTGTGTCAAACACAAGTGTAACTGGGCTAATACAATTGACTTGAACTTTCCAATTCTCAGTTAGGGGCTAAAGCAGTAATTGAAGCAATGGGCTAGTGTCCCAAAGCCAGGCCTCAAAGTTGCCCAGCCTGACCCTAACTATGCAAATAGCAAAAAGGGCAGGCTTGGTCAAAGTCAGCTAGGATTTAAAAATCCATTTGGGGTAAACAGTGGCTTTGGTACTATCACAAACCACCATACAAACCAACAAGGTCACAAGGCAGACCCAGTTGTGCCACTGGTATATTTTAAAACAGGTTATTTAATACAACCAAAAACTATAGAAGCTGAATTGTCAGCACCTATTCTAAACTTGATATTCAGCCTTCCCTCACTTTTGCCACCTCATTAGCCTAAGGGGAAAAAAAAAAAAAAAAAAAGCCTTTAAAAGGCACTGCTCTGCTTGCCCCCACAAAGCAGGGCCAACTGTGCTTTTCATCCCAGCAGGATGGTTTTGTTTCACATTTCATTTGCTTTCAACATTCAGCAGTTTATTC